TGTCAATCTGTTTCCTCACTTCCCCAGGTGGGTATTGTAGTTTTACGAATTTTAGTTTTATTCGTACACCTACAGGGAACCTATCCCTGTAGCAAACCTCGTTTGTGAAGAATATTGCATACACACCAAAATGGTTTAGTTCAAAAATATTCCTGTGTGGAAATACCAGACCATTGCAAGGACAAGCAAGAAAATGAACTGTTTCATGCAGTCATATCCCTGCAGTAGTTTCTTTGCTTCATATAAACACATCCTCTCTGGAAAAAATTCTGGACTCCAACTGAGGATCTCTTAAAATTTGTCAGGAGAAGCAGGAGTGCAAAAGTGATTTTAAGTACCTCTGAGTTCCCTTGATCCTGGGTCATCTGGATGTTGGACAGCTTCTCTGGCACAGATTAGAGTAGCTTGAAGATTTCTCTAACTTGCACCCACTGCTAACAGCCCTAAGGGGTCACTATGATAACTGGGGATCGCTGGGAACAGGGAAACTGTGCTAATCCCCTCTTTCCCCCAGCTTTGCCCCGTGTACTGGCCACCAGGAGGAGGCTGGGTTGGAGTAAAAGCTATTATGGTGGCCTTATTGGTTCTATGCCATCCAAGAATCCCCCTACACTGGGGAATATTCCTGTGGCTGGTTAAACCAGCCTCATAGCTATTGTCCATCCGTGAAGCAGGGCCAAATCGTCCTAGTGGTGGAAGGATCTAGGCCTACATCTGTGATCCACCTCTGAAATATTTTGATTTTTAATTTGATCCACTCCAAGATTATTATTTATCTACATTAACGTCTCAACCTATAGTCACAGGAAATAAAACTTCTTAAGTAAATCAGGTTTTAGAGGTTTATGAATTTGAGAGCTTACAGTAATTATGAATGAACTCTTTGGTCATTACTCTCTAGAAGCATATTGTTCCCACAGTATCATTTATAAAATCCTTCCAAGCCTGAAAGAGCATTTCAGACCTTGTCACAGTTATCTCTTTTTGCAAATGTCATCTGGATAATATAGGAAGACATTGAGTAGGTGTAGTGTTAAGTCTCCGTACTTCAGGTACCTTTTGTCACTTCTCATCAATTAAACTAGTTTGTTTTCAAAGATATAACTAAATAGTGCTGTCTACTCTGTGACATTCTGTTGCCAAACAATGGCAAACTTTATCAGATTGCCCTCCGCTGCTAGCGCTTGTCTTTCTCTAGTTATTTAATTAAATTAGATGATTGCATACTTTATAGACTCCTCTGAGAATCAACGAAACAAAATACTTGTTTACTTACTGTAATTTAAAAAATCTGAATTGAAAGTGAATTTAAAATTCTGCATTGGAATGCATGGTTCGTTCTACAGGTAGAGACATTTGAATGCTCTGAGATTATTTGTTTTCAAGACTGGACACTAGCAGTAAAATTGGTTAAAAGTAGACAGTACAATATACAATTACCACTTTTCATCAAACTGTTTTTGGGTTGACTTTATAACAAGTACATGAAAATGTACAGACATCACAAAAATTAGAAACACAATCTTATTTTTCTGCCAATAATTATTGTACTATTTGTCCAAGGCACTAGTATTTGTAATTGTAAATAATATGTTGTGTAAAAGAAAGACATAACTGAGTAAGATATGACTGTGGTATTAGTAGAAAAATAACATTTCTAACAACATTTGCATGTAACACAAAAAAATTACCAGTGCTTTGGTATTAGGATATCCTTACACAGAAAATGTATCTGTATACTTCACGGTGGTACAACTTTCATATGATAAAACAGCTTTATTAACTTACCAGTGTTTTTATTTAATGTGGTATTTTAAAAAATACATATCAATTCAGTTTCATAACTGTTTTTTAGTCCAACTAAACATTTAATCTCACTGTGCAAATGATAGGCTACTGAATTTAACTTACATTGTCCTTTGAGGTATAGCATTGATTGTGGGCCCCAATTTCTTGCTATGAGTTTGTTCTGCAAGTTGCAAAAACAAAGTAGAAATTATTCGGCTAGAAATGAATCCTCTCATAAAGTCCTGCAGAGACATTTTTAACCCAAATTTTACCTTTGGAGCACACCAAGATTCAACTATAAGAAAAACCATGAGGATGGCACAGGCGCAAACCACTGCAGTTTTAGTTTTCTGTAAGAAAATAATAATTTTTTAAAAAATATTTTTGTCTTTCATAATACATTTAGCAAAATGGAGCAATGAATATTATAAATCAAAGTTCATGCACACTCTGTATTTGTCTTACCATTTTAGCACGTCTGCTGCTGTCACTCTCTTCTATCATCCAAATGCTGTCAAAGATTTGGTTTGCCACTCTCTCACTGGAAAAGAGCTTGAGCAGCTGATGATCATAAAACATGCAAACCTCAGTTCAGCTGGGCATGTTTCTTTCCAGCAGTCAGTTTTAAAGGCAACAATATATAGATGCAGTTTAATATGCGAAAATTAGGTATACAGAATCTACCTTCCTTTGTGATCAAAACAACAAAATTATTGTGTCAGGCTCTTTTATACCAGGGTAGTTAATGACAGTTGTCCCCGTGAGATCCGGAAACAACCTGTACCCAAAGGAAAAAAAAATACAAAAGAAAAGTTGACTAAATGTCAAGCATTCTCAGTAGATGCTGCATATGTGTAATTTGCATCTTCCGCCCTGTTTTCTACCATAGTAAACACCTAATGATGGGGAGGGTGGAAAAGGAAAGTTTCCCTGTTCATTGACTGTTTTATATGCTCATTTATCCATCACTCTCTTCTGTTCTCTTTAGTTGGTTGTACCGTACTCATTACCATAGCACCTATGTAGAGCTACACATTTTATTTTACTTGTATGTACTGTTCCAACCCTTCCTTGCAGTCGTTATTTGTTTTTTATGCTATATGCCATTCATCCTGTATGGCATAATAAATATACATTCAGAGTATTTTATATCATCTCTTTGGTGTGTTGGCTTAAGTCCTTTAGATCATTTCATTGTAAAGTCAATGACTCTATACATTTATATGCTCATTTCAAGGGTTCAGATTCATTAGGAAATGAACTAGTCCCTGTTATATCTGTTCCCATTGATTACACAGAGCTGGGCATGCCACTGTTTCTTTTATACTTTTTAAGCGTATTAATGGAAAGATGAAAAACAAAAACACGTACATGAATTTCCTGCATTTACAGGACTTTCCAGAATTAAAAATGTGTTTCGACCACAAAAGGAAAGAAGATTGAATTATTCTGAACTAGTAAACTAAAACAAACATTAAGGATTCTAGCAAAAGATGCTGGCCAGAGTAAAAGAAAGTGAGGGGACTGAAATTCAAGTTGTAGAATTGGAAGGATTTTATTTCCTCTCCTCTTCCTGTAACTATATGCAGAAATATTAGCTCTGGGCTGTGTGTGAACTTTACAAATCTTTAGGGTTTACGTATTACATATGGGTCTAATTCTCATTAACACAAAGGCCACTTTTATACGGCTCTAGCAGTGTAAAGGGGCCATCTGCTCCCACTTTAAAGTCCTTCTATGCTGCCAGTGTGGTGTAGAGTTGTCTCAATATAAATCAGTTTCAGGCCGATATGTGTTTATTATAATATAAAAAGTTAGCTGCTCACTCAAAACTCCCTTGCAGTTAACTGGAATTTTGGATACAGAAGGGTCCTGAGAGAATTAAAAGGAACGGTGGACCAAATTTTGCACCGATTTACATCTTGTGCAATGCTGAAGTCACCAGCATCGTGTTATCTGGAAATCAGCACTGAATTGAGCTGTGTTTGTTCAGAAGCTGCAATACCAACAAATGGAATATCAATCAGTAAATTGACAGATTCATCACGTATATTAAATTAGATAGAAGTAAGAAATGTTGGTGATGCAACAACTTGTATGAATTTTAACAGTACATATGACCAGACCTGACTTAACTGAATCTTCGTTTCTGTGCAGTGATCTAATTATTTTGCATTTAGGAACAAATTCTGATGTCAACTGCAGGTTGAGAAACTGCACCAATGAGTTCCACCACAGTTTGTGGGCGAGCCACTTTATGGTAGCCCATGCAGCTCCTGAGCTCCTGCTCTGTAACTGGAGCAGTAACCCATGGATCTCCATAGTCTCAGACCCCACCAAGTCCCACTCCTTCCCTATCCCACCTCTGCCCTCAAAAAGTAACCTGTGGGCTGGGGCACAGGCAGGGCCGGCTCCAGGGTTTTGGCCCCTCAAGCAGCCTCCCCCCCCCAAAAAAAGCCGCGATCGCGATCTGCGGCGGCAATTCGGCGGGAGGTCCTTTGCTCCGAGAGGGAGTGAGGGACCGTCCGCCGAATTGCCGCCGAATACCTGGATGTGCCGCCCCCATCCGGAGCAGCCGCTCCAAGCACCTGCTTGCCAGGCTGGTGCCTGGAGCCGGCCCTGGGCACGGGGAACCTCCACAGAGCTGTGCTCAGCAAAGCAGGTATGTCTCACCTGCATAGGCTCTCCAAATCCTGCCCTTTTCCCCTTTGGAGTGGAACTGCACCAGTTCCTCTGTCTTTTGAACCCTCCTCATCAGGACCTCCAATCTGGCAAAGCACTTAAGTACATGCTTTAAGATAGGCACATGCTTTAGTCCATCTCTGTTCAGCAAAGCACATGTTTCAGTGTAACTTCTGTCAGTGAGTCTAAGAAGCAGATTTGCTACTTAAAATTATACATTCCAAAGTTTTCTTTTGGGTTTTGGGTTTTTTTTAATCTTCATCTGAACCATCCATAAACATGTATTGAATAACATTTTTTTTCAGTTCCCTAATTAGCTTACATCAAAATTATATCAATTCAAGACCATAAAATGTGAATACATGTGCCCTTCAGTTTTAATATTGCTAGTATTATGACAGATTGCAGTTGATGCTATTTACGTAATATTTTCTCTAGCACTGATTTTATGTAATGTACTCCTTGTTTTTTTGGTTTTGTTTTAACCAAATTATGTGCTTTATTCTGTGTTCAGTTACAGCTTCAGAGAGTTATTATCCAGTCCATGATAACTGAAAGGCTAATCTCTGCATAATCTGAAGCAACTCATTGAAGCTGTTCCAAGGGAAATGGGGTGAATTTTACAACAATTTACCACTCCAATACAGAGTTCACATTTGAAAAGGTCAGCTTAATGGCTTTACCTCTTTGCTCATTATTAAAAAGTATACGTGTATTTAATGTATTTTCTTTTATAATTTCACGTGCTGCTTTTAGAATGTTTGATTTACAGAAGTTAAATCTAAACTAATTATTGTTAAAATAATCAATATGAGCCCAACCGTGCAATCCTTATACTGTCCTCTAATGCAAAACTCCCACTGACTTTAGTCGGATGCTGCCTGACCAAGGACTGCAGGATTTGAAACAAATGGACAATAAGTTTTTAATGTCTTTGACTGAAGAAAAGGACGAGGCTTAATTTTTAAAAGTGAATTGGGCTGTGTAGCTTGAGATAGCTTAAAGGGGACTGATTATGAGAGGGAGACACTCAGCACTTTCTGCCAATCAGCTCCTTTTAAGGCTTTTCTTTTTTTAAAGTTAGGCTTATAAGAAATTTGCTTTATCCACATTGTCAATAAATAGGATCCACTCTGTTTTTGAAAAGAACAGTCCTAGAGACTGTTTCATTTACATTTGTTTTGAAGTTATAGGCAGAGAGTGCAAAACACTAAAATATTCAGAGAACTCTACTGCAAAAAGGTTAGGGCCTGATTTTTAAAATCTGGCATCCTTTATTTGTGCTCACAATTTGTGCCCACAAATAATAAAGATCACTTAAAAAATCAAACCCTTAAAATCTTCAAATGTTTCCCTTTCTCATCAGTTGATCTGCATACTCCACAAGAGAAACTGTCAAGCTTGAATACCTTATTGTCTAGAATGTGTGTATTAAATTAGATTTCTTCAGTCATTAAAATACTTTGAGACATTTCTTTGAGGATCTGTCTGTCTCACTCCATAGGTTTATATGGCACAGTATGTTAGACAGAAAGAAACTTTAACTGGGTAAGTTCATATTGGTGCATTTGGTCCATGGAAAGCCTCCCATTTACTTCAGTGGGCTTTTGATCAAGCCCATTGTGTTTAACTTGTTAATAGAAAGTTTATTTTTTGTTTAGATGCATAAGTTCCATAGTTCATTTTAATACATTTTAAAGGGGCAGCGCAGTAAGACTTGGTAAAGGAGCTATTGGGTCCCACAGCAAAATGAATGAGGTTGTTAACTGTGGCGAGGCATCCATTTAGCTTCCTGGAGAGGGTGGATTGTCAATCCCTGATTGAGCTGCTTAGTTGTCCCTTGAAGAGAAGACTGGCTCCAGATTCAGCTATCTTCCAGGCCTGCTAACCATGAAAAAGTGGATAAGAGAAGGTGCTGGGAAGATGAATGCCATGTAATGACCCCCTCTAGTTCCCACAAAGATTTGGTCTAGGTGCAGTTGTAGGGATGGGTAAAAGTTCTTAGTTTTTCCAAACTGGTTTGCCCATCCCTGCTCGTGGTATAAATCCAGCAAATTTAAATAAACAAAAATAATATCACAAAGGAAAAAATTGGGTCTTTTTACCCAGCTCTAATGATTTACAGAATTCAAGCTACTGGAATATAGAAAATCAATACAAATAGCATAGAGGTGTGCCCTGTCGCTATCGCTCAGAACATCATTATGGCTGTGGAATGGTCCTTTCTTTCCTGAATAAGCCTTTCCACAGCCAGGCTGATATTTCAGAAACTAATTGACAAGATAAAATCTGGCCTCTGACAAGTCTCCTAGACTACAGACAATAAAAGGAAGATTTACAGATGGCTTTTCAGGCATTCATCTGTTTCTTAAAGAGAAAAATAATAGAGGCAGTCTTGGAAGCAGCTGTTACATGTCTTGTAAAGTGATACATCACTCAGGCTAGAGCCAGAAACACTGGAAAATCTCTTGCATAAATTTACTATGAATTAGATGATTAAAAGCTAGGTTTAGAGCTGTGAAGCTGCTTAACGCTTTGTTAGCTCAAGGTGTTCTCTGAAACCAGTGAGTTTGTTTCATACTAGTCATATAATACTATTGTCCTTGTGGCCCAAACAGTTACCCAAAATTTGGGGCCTTGAAGGGTTGTTTCTATTAGATTGAAAAATAGATTGTATAGGTCAGATATGTTCTTGGTGTAATCTTGTTTATTGATAAATAGTTTACATGTATTCTGGTCATCATCGAACCTGGGACCTCTGGAGCTTAGTGCATGAGCCTCTACTGCATGAGCTAAAAGCTACCTGGCCCTAGCTAAGACTGTAGAGCAAACTCATTAATCTTTAAGTGGTCTCGGTGCCGCTAGAGGGGACTAGGGTGATCAGATCAGCAGTCCAAAATATCGGGACGGGTGGGGGAGGGCAAAAAAAGGGGGGAGGGCAAAAAGGGGGGGGCGGAGCAAAAAAAAGGGGCATTTAAAAGGGGCTGGGGGCATTAGCAGGCCCTCCCCGCAGAGCCTCCCGCCCCCCGGCCCGCCACGGGCATATGCGGCACGCGGTGGATCCGGGCAGGGGCAGCACGGAGCGGGCAGGAGCTGGG